AGCCCCAGAACAAGGATGGAGTCTTGAAATCATTTGGCTTACTAAGAATGTCGTAGGTACCACAGCCAGCAGCATCTGACTGTGGCCCAGGAGAAAATACCTGGACAGAGGTCTATGTATGACCTTAGGAGCCACCAGTGTCCATGTCTTAGCTCAGAGGCCCCCGCCTATGTGTCTTCCCTCACCCCCTACCCTTCCTACAACCTTTCTCCTAAGCTGTTTCAGTCAGTATTCACTAAAGAACAGAACTAATTAAAAAAAAAGAACTGATAGAATGAATATATACATACATTCATTCATTAATATATTCATATTATTCATTCAATATGTATGTATGTATGTGTATATATGTGTATGGGGTTTATTAGAGTGGCTTACAGGCTGTGGTCCAGATAGTCCAACAATGGGTATCTCCTGACAGAAATCCTATAGTTTTTCAGTTCATGAGACCGGATGTCTTTACAGACCCAACCTGATGTTGGAGTCCTAGAGGATTCCTAGAGAGCTGCTGGGCTTCAGTCTACATTGGAATCCCAAAGAAGTAGGTTAGGTTCTAACAGCAGCAAAGGTACGCCCCAGCAACAGGGTAGATGAACTTGCTGGCAAGAGTAAAGGCAAGCAGGCAAAAAGCAACGGCCTCCTTCTTCTATGTCCTTTTATGTGTCCAGATTTAGGGTGGGTCTTCCCATCTTAAATGATCCAATCAACAAAATCCCTGATGGTGATGCCTAGCTTCTTGGGTTTAAGTTGATTCCAGATGTAGTCAAACTGACAACCAAGATTAGCTATCACATAAGCTTCTACCCTAGCCCATGTGTATCATCAGCCACCAACCGGGCATATTAGATCTCTGGCAGGGCTGGATCACATCTGCCATCTCTCCCCCTCTTTGTGCCCCTGTCTCATTCTTACCCCAACCACCCGAGACAGACAGAGTGAGGGGAGCAGAGAACGAATAAGACATGAGGAATGCTGGGAGAAGAAGAGCTCCCCACCCGGTGCTGCCTATCACCGATTTTCTTCTGCTTTGGTTTCCAACCTGTGGACTAAATCTGCCTCCCCAGCTCCATCTCTGAGAGACTCAGAAGAGCCATCACAGCAAGGAGAGAGTCCACTATAGCATAAGGGGTGTTGGGACTGAGACTGGGTACCGCTGCTGACGAATGCAGTCTGCAGACCCACAGAGCTCACTCCATGTCCAGTGCGTCTTGGCACAGCTCACACAGCCACACCATCATCCTCCTGTCTGGTAAAAGGGGGATAGTAAAACTTGCCTTCTCAGATTGTTGTGAGGGTTAGAAATAATGTCTCACTTAGAGAGACAGTTTCCCAGGTACACAGGGAACAGCTTGGTATGGGCAGGTGTGTGCGCTGGGCATCCTTTGAGTTCCTCTCCCAGAGGCTGGGTACCTGGAGATGCTCACTTAGAAAAAAAAAACTAGCGACGCCCCTACATGACCCCTCTGCCACAGGCTAGAATAATTTGCTGTCTGGGGAGTGATCCTCCTTTACCCTAAGGCTGGTGTGGTTCTCCCAGGCTCCACCTGGGACAATGGCTGTCACCTCCTAAGCAGCATCCTGCTTCCAATCTCCTAGAGGGCTACCTTCTGAGGAGAAAGGGCAAGCAAGGTCCCAGTTGCAATGGACAGGCAGGTGGGGCGGGGCCCCAGCGACCTACCAATGCAGTTTTAAAAGTCCTTCCCATCATGCTTTTTAAAAAATGATGATCTGGTGAAAGCAGCACCGTTGTGGGTGTACTCCATTAGCAAGGGAGCTAGAAGCAGCCTTGGCCTTCAGACAGTGAGAGCTGGAGAGCCAGGCAGCCCTCGCCAGAGGGCGTGGGGACATCTGAGGCAAGAAAGTCCATTCTAGGCCCTGCAGAGCTAGGAGCTGGAGGTCCCTGGCAGATAAGGTAGGTGGACTCCTATGGGTCTTTGAGTCAGGGTGCAACACCCTGGAGACACTGGATCAGTCAGACTGAACCAAGATGCAATTTCTAGATGCTCTTAAAGATGTCGTTTCCAGGGGGGTGATCTGAGGGGCCTAACTGGGTTTGGTCCCCATGTTGGATTTGCATTACGATTAAGGATGGGAGCAAACCTAGGCCATGTAGCAACTTACCAATGGGGCTAGAACACATGCTAAAATCTTGAGCATGGGTGGGACAGATGAGTTGTCTAAAGCCTTTGCTGCAAGGGGGCCTTTGTTGCAAGGGGGCCTGCTGGTCAGCTCAACTGCTCAGAGTCCAGCACAGCTCAGTGTTCTAGGCCAAGGTCAGTCCCTTGAGCCCACATAAACCTCATAGCCAGTGTTCAGTACCCTATAACTGATGCACATAGCTGACCACTAAAGGGTGGGTGGCTGGGTGGAAGGATGACAGGCTAAATCCACTCTCAACCCCACTGAGGCTGTAGGCTACAAAGCAGGGTGCTCTCTTCTTGTTGAAGGACTCAGGCTCTGTGCCTCAGTTTATCCTGCCTGCGTTCTTCAGGCGTGGAGAGGTTTCGTAGTTTCCCAGCTGCTAGCAGGTACAGGCAGTACTCGCTGGAATTCCTCTCAGATACCTTTGTGAGAGAACTTCTTGGTCCTCTCATGCCGGGACTGAAACAGAGCAGGATGCTCTGCTTGGGAGACTAAGTAGGCAAATGGCGACTCACTCCCTCAGTCTGACCAGGTAGGTGGGCAAGGAGGGCACAGCAGGGGAAGTGAGAGTCAGCTGAGCCTTGGGTGTGGTCCTCCAGGTAACGGTACCGGAAGGGCAAAAGAGAGCCCCTTGTGGTCCCTGAGTGCACATAGCTTTCTTTGCTAGCCATCTCTAATGGAGCAGGTGGCGCGGCTCTTAGGTCATCCAGGAATGCCATCAGCCACTGAAGTATGAACTGGAGCAAAGTGGAGAGCGAGTGTCCGTCTTCTCTTTCCTGTCATCTGTCGGAATATCGAGCCTGTATGCTCCCACAGCCTTCAAGCTGCTTCTGCAGAGCCACCCCCACCGGCACATCTACCTTGACTTCTCACAGACCAGCCCACAGCTGGTCCCAGGCAGCAGGTCAAAGGTCAGGGAGAGGTTGCCCATCGCATAAACATCGCCGGCCCTGCTGCTGCTGGCTTCTTTCGGCACAAAAGCGGCTGTCCTGGTGGTTTCAGGTGGACTGCCCAAGCTTTGGGAGTTTGGTTCACTGTCCACAATGCCCCTGTCTCCTTGTCACACAGCGGTGACAATTTATCCTGCAAACAGCAACTTGAGTATTTTCAGTGTATATAAATCTGGGTTCCTATCTTTAATCATTTTCCTAGGACAATTTTCTAGACGTGCTATTGTTCCTACAATGGGATAAAAGGCCTGGTGCTCTTACCAACAGTCCATGTTATAGTTTTCAATAAGAGTAAACTAGATACCAGCAAATGAGAACCTGTTTATTTTGCATTTTTAATTTTTTGAATGGAAGCCCAGCATGGTAGCTCACATCTTTAGTCCCAAACACTTGGGAGTCTGAGGCACAGGGATCCCTGTGAGATAGAAGCCAGTCGGCTCTGCTAACTGGGTTCCCGGCCAGGCAGGGCTACAAAGTTGCAAATGGAATGTTTTTTCTTTGTTTTGGATGACCCCATGATGATTTTGTGAGGGTTTTGTTTGTTTGTTTGTTTTTAATTGTTTGTCCTTTATTCTGTGGAGTATTTGCTGTCTAGTACTGACGTGGTGGAGGCCCTGTCTTTAGAGGCAACAACTCCTTGCTTTCCATCCTTGTAGCAGGTATTTCTTTGGTTTTTTTGAATGTCTGCAAAGGGTTGCTTTTTTAAAATCCATGTAGAGACTTTAACTTTTATGTATTCAAATTCTATTGGCATTTCCTCTGTTATTTCTTGTTTTGTTTGTTTGTCTGTCTGCCTGCTTTGTTTGTTTTTGTTTTTTCAAGACAGGGTTTCTCTGTGTAACAGTCTTGGTTGTCCTGGAACTCACTTTGTAGACCAGGCTGGCCCCGAACTCAGATCTGCCTGCCTCTGTCTCCCAAGTTCTGGGATTAAAGGTGTGCGCTACTGCCTCCAGGTTTCTTTATTATTTCTGCCTTTGATGTGGTTCTTAGAAAGTTTTTATTCCCATAACAACATCATGGACGTGTTCATGTCTATATTCTGTACATTCTTATATTTTGATTTTTAAAGACTTGACTCTTAAATTGATCCAAATTTGACTACATGTGTCTTTGCAAACAGCTACAAATTCTCTTTGAATCGAGAATAATTACTTCACTCATTAACATGGCAGAGCTGGGGAGAGAGAGACAGAGACAGAGAGACAAAGAGAGAAAGAGAGAGATCTGGAAGAGAGGTGGGATAATTAACGGATCAAGGTGGAGGAGAAGGGATGATACCGTTGACTGAAGGTACTTGGGGCAGCTGCTTTGACCTTCAGGTGAGACACTCAGTTTCTGAGGCTACATGACGGGGGAGGAAGTGGCAGAGACCAGTTTCACAAAGGCAGGATGCAGGAGGGGAATGAGCAGAGAGGACTCTGGGCCGGGTGCTCACATCCCCCATGGTTGTGGGGTTGGGAAAAGCAAGGAGGACCAGAAGAGAGGTCATCAACTAAGAGGGTAAGAGAGTGGGAGGAGCCTGGGCCTCATGGAGACAGGTTCAGTAACTACAGTTTCTGGATTGGAAGAACTGTGGTCTACATGTCATTGGGTCCAATGGCAATGTAGAAGAATATTGCATTTCCCTCCAGAGGTATCTAAAGGACCTGAGGTACCATGAAAGGTCTGATCCAGTAGCAACTGTGAGGTGAGTCCGTCTCCATCGCTGGAGAGGAGCAGAGTCAAGAAAAGTTAAACAGCTCATGTGTAAAGCATGTTCTCAACACCTTTTCACACCTAGACTTACATATTTGCCCAGAGTCAGGCAGGACGCCCATGGCTGTCTGTCAATGCCAGCACCATCCTTATGCACCAGGGACAGACACTTGAGACTTTACCTGACATTCTCCTTTTCTCCCGTCTCTGCAGGATCCTAGTGTGGCCCTACCCCTGTCGCTGACCATGAATGGGATGGCCAACGTGAATTCTGCCAGCCGCCCGCACTATGCCTCCTCCATCCCGGTGCCTCGAGCTTCCTCACAGACCAGGATTCACACTCCGGGCGCTTCTCCTCAGCTTCGGCCTCGTCAGGCTGACTTGGCCCTGAGCCCCCAGCGAGCTGCCTCCCCAAGTCGGCGCAAGGCTGCAGTCTCTTCTAGAAACTCCTCCCCGAAGGCCTACAGAGGAAGAGGCACCCCAAGGGCTGCAGGGCCAGCCAGGGAGCCGGCTGAGAGTGTAGAAAGCCTCCCCAGCTCCCCCTGGAGCAGCCCCAGGATAACCCCCAAAAGAGCCCTCTCCAGTCAGGCGGAATCCAGAAGAGCTGGGGAGACACAAAGCACCCCGCGGAAGAAGACCCAGGACGGAATCTCAGTTCGCCAGACCAGGGGAAGGAGCCCACCGGGGACAAGCTGTCATGGAGAAACTCAAATTCCTGGGCCTCCTGAAGGTCGGATGCTTCCTAGCTCCCAGGGAAAAGATCAGAGAGACAAAAACTACAAACCCCCTAGGTCTCTGGAGCTTGATGAAGGGGCAGCTCCAGGGACTCCCTCTCCAGTCTGCAGCCCTGTGCAGAGCCTGAAGCCCTCTCATACTCCAGGGACCATTAGCTTTTCCTCCGCCCATCAGCAGAGCCAGCCAATCACAGCCACGGTGGCCCCCTTTCAGTACAGGTGAGTTGGGAAGTGGGCGGGCAGACAGAGAAAGAAGGCCAATGGTCCTGGGACCAAGGGGCAATCTCACTGAAAAGACTACAGGGTTAAAAACCGGGCGGTGGTGGTGCACGCCTTTAATCCCAGCACTCGGGAGGCAGAGCCAGGCAGATCTCTGTGAGTTCGAGGCCAGCCTGGTCTCCAAAGTGAGTTCCAGGAAAGGCGCAAAGCTACACAGAGAAACCCTGTCTCGAAAAACAAAAAACAAAAAACAAAAAAGCCCTAGGAAAGGGGATGGCTAGAAACTTGGGCGTGTAAGACAGGACTATAATCTTAAATTCTCTGTTTTTTTTTTTTTTCCTCAACCCTGGGACCTTGACAACAGAGACTCATGAGGGTGTCCCTAAACTGGCCCATTCCACACTCTCTTGGAAATGATGAAACTGTATGAGGGTATGAAAGATGCTTGAGCACCCGATACACGGGCAGCAGGGTCAGCGATGCTTTAGACTTGCCAAATTTGTGTGGGCCGTTTGCCACCACGGTGCTGTCTTGAGTCCCGGAGTCTTCAGTAGCTTGAGCAAGGCCTTAACTGCTTCTCTGTGGTGTTCTCATAGCACTTTTGTGTCTGTCTGTCCATCCCTCTCTCTCTCTCACCTGCTTGTTTACATCGCTTGTCACACGGCCTTATGCCTGTTTACGTGCACGGTGTATTGGCAGTCGGTAATACTTCTTAAATGGCTAGGTAGACGCTGTTGTCGTTGGCAGTATGGTCAACATGCCAGCCTCTCCAGCTTTCAGACATGGCAAGTTAAGTGCGTGGAATAACATCGAGCCAACTAGGCTTTTTAAGTAAAAATAACTCTTTACTAACATGACCATATTAAGTAAACTAAATTTTAATTACTAATCATTATGTAGGTTAGAAATGCCCAAATGTAAGTTAGACCCTTTCTTGACTATACTCACTTCCTGAATTTCCCCTACTCCCACGCTAAGATGGGAAGTAGCTGTCAATTTGCATCTTGGGGTATATAAAAGCGTATTCTGCATCAACCCCTGGGTGCTGGGGGACCTCTGAGACTTCAGAGCAGCTGAAAGCCGGAGCCCTAGGCATATCATCCTTCACTAGCAGTCAACTCACAAGTATGTAGATCTCTAAACAATTGTGTGCGACCTTCTATCACAGTACTAGGTGTTGGGATCTGGGACAAGGAAATTAATATCCACTATATTCTGCCTGTGGTCAGGCCTCATTTGCAGTGCCGCATTCAGTGATGAGCACCACGTTTTAAAAGGACATTGGCACACCAAAACGCCTTTAGAAAAGGACTGACACCTTACCGAGGAGTCCCGCAGAGGTGTCTGAAGAATGGGTGGGGGAAATGAAGAAGTTAGCTTGCTTTGGAAGGAGAAGGTGTAGAAGGTCTGTGAGCTGTTCTCAAATATGGGAAAGGCTGTCGTGCTGTAAGATGAATTAGTTTGCTTGGAACAGCTCCAAAAAGCTGACTCAGTGTCATGGTGGCTAGGAGTTAGCTCGAGACAGATTCGAGGCTGGCTGGGAAGAACTTTCCAACAGCGAGAAGGGCTGACGAACTGACTGTAAGGCAGGGAGTTTTATTTACCGCGGGATCCCAGCAGATTCACAGCCCAGGAATTCTTACCCGGGCGAGCCCTTTTGCTGACTATACCTACCAGCTCAATGCACAGATGTCCCTCTTTCAGGGGCAGGTCACATCTGTCCCTTTCCTTTCTCCTCTGAGATTCTGAAGCTAAAGCTGAACCGAGAAGCGTAGACACAGGGAAGCTGTTCCTTTTTTTGTTTCTCGTTTGCTGGGGGTCGAACCCACAGCCACCCGCATGCTAGGCAAGGGCTCTGCTACTGAGCCACACTCCGGCCCCAGCCCTCTTTTGAATGGCCTTTTCCCTAACAGCTCAACACCTCCCTGGTGCCTGTGACTTTCTTTTCCTACCTGACTCCCTTCATTTCGAATTCATTCTTTGGGAAAAAGTGTCAAGGTATTAAATACTCTCAGATTTTATATTATCCACCCTACAAGTCCCCTGGTATATTTACAGTCTGGCATTTTTCAAAGAGGTCAGGCTATTTCCCTCTGAACATTTTAACGCAACTTAAATAGAGCAGTGTTTCCAGCACTCAGCAAACACTGACTGCTTGTTTGCATTTTAAACAGAAGTGGAATTGTTACACCTCTCCGGGAAGGGTGTCCTTACCACCCATCCTTAGACCTTGCGCTTCCCAGGCCCTCAGTTGTGGTTGGAGGATGGGTCACAGCAGGAGTAAGATTTGGATGGAGGATACCCCGGCATGCTGTAGGCAGATGGGCTGGATCTCCACACACCCTGCACGGGCCGAGAGCTGCTGCCATGGACCAGCTCCGCCAAGAGCTTGGCTAGGCCACTCAACTAAGCTCTATAGCCAAGGAGGTGCCATCTGTTCCCTAGAATCCATAGACATCCTGTTTTCGTGGAAATCTGTTCTCCACTCCCAATATACCTTGGGCTTCTGTAAAGCCTCAGGTGAATGCAGAAGCAGAGGTTAATGGGTTTCCTCCTCCTCGTCATCTCCAGCCTGGCCTGGGAAACAAAGCCGTTACCCATCTTTCCCTTTGCCCCAGCCTCCCAGCCATATCTTTTCAAAATCTGGGTGCGGTCTTCCCATGACACTTATCTGCCTGCCACCTCTCACCTCCTCTTGATGCCCCTCCTTCTTGGGCCCCAGAAGGCAGAATGTCCCTCCGGCTGTCTTCCAGTTTCTGGTCTCACACATCCAATTCCGTTACAGCTTCCTCCTTACTCCCAGTACGTTTCTGTAAAAAGCCGCAGCATCTGCATCATAACCATACCTCTCCCCACCTACCACTGTCCTTCCCTGACAGTGCACACCTTCAATCCTCAGGCAAGACTTTAGTTAAGAAGGAATAGGCGGCGGCTGGCGGTGGTGGCGCATGCCTTTAATCCCAGCGCTTGGGAGGCGGAACGGTTGGTTAAAGGTGTCAGGAGTGTAGGGTCACTGAGGTCACCATTTCGGTTTTCCTCTTCTCTGGTTCAGCCTCCCACTGATTTCTGGCCTACGTTGTCCTGTCCTCTCAGGCTGAAAAGCCCTGGCATATATAGGGAAGTGGAGGCAGGTATAGACACGTGTGCAGAGCCAACTAAGAGCAGAGAGGCAAAGGCCACCTTCCTTCATGCTCCTGGGTTTGGGGTTCCTGGCACATACAGACGAGTCGTTCTTACCTGCCCTTGTAACGCAGTGATGCCGTAGACTTGTGACGGCATGCCATCGTTGCTGCAAAGCTGACATAGCACCTATCCAAGACAGACACTGCTCAGCTCTCTACAGATGACGCTATCCAACGAAACCTCTACTACGTTATATAGAATTCCCTCACCTCAGTAGAATGTTCTACTATTTTCACGGCACTATGCTGCCTGTCCATACTAATTTTTTTTCCAAGCAAACAACTGTCTCATTTCCCCCTGTCCCCTTGACTGTTGTACACTGGACTAAGATGAGTGCCCCCTGTTATGTCAAGCACCCCCCAGAGGCCAGCAGCACCAGATCTCCTGCTCTCTCAGTTTCCTCCACCCTGCCTTGTGACCAGCACCCATCTGAGGCCTGGCAGGCGCACCATACCTCAGCGCTGCCCAGATGGCTTGGAGAGAGGCAGTGATAGCCACAAGCCCCCTGCGGCAGACCCAGTAGGCAACTTCAGCCTGGCCCTTCAGAGGTCATCCCTCCCGGGCCTGATGAAAACCGGGCCCAGAGAGGGGAAGATGTTTGCTTGGGTCACACAGTGAGCCCATGGCAGAGCTGGATTCAGAGTCCCAGACGTAGAGGTACTGGAAAAAGTGAAACCCTAAGAAGACAAACACAGCGCGGCACTAGAGACTCCCAGGGTCCCCTGGCCCAGCCTGTCAATTTCCCCTCTTGTCTGCACAGCCCTCCCTTCCCCCTCCTGCCAAGCTGCCAAAGGGTCCATTTAGCTGGCGACATTGGGCGGGGATCTGGGGGTAGGCGGGACTGCTCTGAGCCCAGGGTAATTGCATGTAAGGAGAGCTCCCACAGCCTTTGTTCCTGGAGCAATTCTATGGTTGGGGCTGTGTTCTGAGGTCTGTGCACTGGGTAGCCAGTGCCCAGAGACCTCACCCTTCCTGTTGGCACCATGGATCTATCAGGAGTCACTGTGGCTCAGGCGGAGCCTACCCCTCCTCTTCTGACCTAGTGTGCTTGAGGTGAGCGATTCTAGAGAGGCCAAATGCCCTCTGAGTGCCAGGAGTCCAGTGGCTTCAGCGTCAGAGACAGCCCTTCCCTGCGGGTATGCGCTCTGCTGAGCCAACATGAGCATCCTAAGGACAAGAATCACAGCAGGCCAGAGGAACCCGTGCCTGAGATTCTGGGGGTATCTTTCTGCTCTGTGAATGATGTATGCTGCTGGGCAGCAAAGGGCAACAGATGTTGAACATGCTGGTGCCCCTGGGGACTCCTTCCTGGTCCAGCTCTGCTGCTTCCTGGAGTGTCTGCATGTACACACGTCCCCAGGAGAGGCTGGCCCAGAGAGCTCAGGGCATTGTAGAAAAGAGGACCCAAGCTCAAAAAGGGTTTGCCTAGCCCACAGAGGGGCTTTGAAGCCATGAGTTACCTTTCCTTCTTGGCCCCACAGGTTGCAGACAGACCAGGAGCCTGGCCCCATTCCTCAGGAAAGCTGGGCCCTTGATGGATACACCAGCCCCCCTAGCAGGACTGAGGAAAGCTTCTCCTGCATGGGTAAGTACTCTGGGGAAGACTTTCTACACCGGAGCCACTGCCCGGACTCTCCTTGTCTCCGAGGGATGGATGTGGCCTGGGCCTAGGGACCTTCTTCTTTTCTGTTGTTTTGTGACAGGGCCTCACTAAAGAGTCCAAGCTGGCCTCAAACCTCTTATATTCTCCAGTGACGGGATTATAGATGGTGCCACCACATCCATCTTGGGTCTATCTCTTTTTTTTAAAAAAGTTTATTTTTTTGAGGCGTGGTCCTACTATGTAGCCCAGGCTGGACTGTGTAGACTAGGTTAGCCATCAAGTCAGCCCTAAATTTTTCAAAAATTAGGGGTGTGTGTGGGTGTGTGTGTGTGTGTGTGTGTGTGTGTGTGTGTGTGTGTGGGTGGGTGTGTGTACAGGTGTCAGGGCACATGTGGAGGTCAGAGGACAACTTGTGAGAACCGGCCCTCTCCTTCCATCCTATGGGTTCCAGGGTTGATCTCAGGTCATCAGCCCTGATAACGAGTGCCTTCACCTGCTGAGCCCCGTCTCCCTGGCCCTGCAGTCTGTCTCTTGACAGTGAGTTGCTGACCTGTGAACTGCCCTGACAATTTCCTCCACGCTTGCCTCAACTCAGGGTAAAAGCTGTCACGTCCAAGAGGGCTTCAGGGTCAGGCTAGGAAGGGTGGCCATGGGGGAGGGGTCAGCATCACGTTTGTCCAGGGCTCAGATTGTGAGACCACAATAGAAAGGTGACAGGCTGGGAGAGTGACAGCCAGGTCGTGGTGAAGCCCAGGTCCAACATGAAGGTGCTGGGAGCCTGGGTGGCGGTCCATAGCCACCTGCCGGGCTGCCTGACACGTGCTTCGCTCCCAGGAACGCTCTTAATAACAAGTCACTCCCACGCATGTGCCCTTCCCTGTGTCACCCTGTAATCACGGTGTCACCCACAGCACATACACTGCTAACAAACACAAAGCCCTGAGACTGACCGAGAAGACCCTTGAATTCAAATTCAGTAACATGCCTCTTCCAAGTACACCCTCGGGTGTTCAGCGTCCCTGGATGAGTGCGTGATGAACGAATAACCAGGTGCCTTGTGACCCACTGGCTAGGACCCCAGAGAGTCAGATTCTAAAATCCCCCATAGCTTTTAGGTTTGTGTGTTGATTGATCTCCTGGCAATATTAAAAAATAAAAATAAACCGCAGGATTCAGCAACGTGTGCGCCAAACTGCACGTGACAGCACATTGCAGGAAACAAGGTCTCTTTGTCAGTTTCCTGGGCCAGAGGAAATTGGCTCCAGCAAAGCAATAAACTTGATTTTGTTTGTGGTACTGAGGATTAAACCTAGGGGCCTGTGCATGCCGGACCAATGCTATACCACACACTGCCGGTCCGTTGCGAACTTGCTTTTAGAAGACTCAAGCCTGTCCAGAAGGTTGTGCTCCACTGGGCACAAATGTGAGATTAGCTCCCAGCCGGGCCTTGACTTCATTCGGCAGTGATAGCATGCCACTGTGTCCTCTCTGTTCCCTGCTGGGCAGGTGGGAAGGTGAACTGGCCCTTTGGAGCTGTCTCTAGAGAGCTCCACAGCAGTGTGATCTTGGAGAGATTGCCGAACCGTCACACTCACTTCATACAGCAGGCCTTGCAGAGAATGGTCCTAGGGCAGGGCCTGGGCATTTAAAGGATAACCATCTCCTCCCACAACAAATACACATGCAGTGGAAGCGGAGGAGGGCAGGGGACAGAAGTAAACTGAATTTCACAGGCACTGACAAAGCATCAGAATAGAATGTGGTAACCAGGAAACTATGTGCAGCTCTATTTTTACATTTGCAGTTTTTGTTAGCGTAATGGCTTCCTTATGTGTGCACCACATTGTTAGGCTAATGATCTCCATCCACCTAGCCAAGCGCTCCTTACTAATTGTGACCCCGTGAGCTGGGAAGAGGACTTTTGCTTTTCCTGCCTGCTGCAGGCTGAACCTAGGAAGCCCTTTGACTTGTTAGCTTGAAGACCACCCTCACCAGTCAGATCTGAAAATGTCCTCTAGATCCCAGGTGAGGGGATCGGTGTGTGGGTAGGTAGGCAAAGGGCCTTGAACTCTAAAGGTGGGCTTCACACAGAACAATGGGCAGCACCAGCCTCCCCCAAGATACCTAGGGAAGGGGATCAAGGTTCATGATGCTGCCTGTGCTGTGGTCCTCGCTGGTTGTCATGGTGACAGACACGTCTTTGCTGAGGATCCGCTGAGCTCTTTGATGGGTTAGATGAGGAGAGATTTAGGATATACCTTCTCTGTGAGGGACCCAGTGCTTTACTGAGCTTGGAGAAGATGGGGTAGAGAGAAAGGGAGGAAACCACAAAGTTTCCACTCTGCTTTGCCCTTTTACTTCTGAACTCACTCTGGACATGTCGTGAGTCACTCACTGTGTGTGCTCCACTCAGTCAGCAAGTCCCCGTGAGCATTTGCTTTGTGCCAAACAAACACTGCTGGCACTGCTGCGGAGGAGGAGGGGGACTTTGATCTGCTTTCCAGGAGCACACAGTGTAGGGGTTCACTCTGCAAACTCTTTCGGAGCATCTGGTGGTGTCCCTGAAGTCCCCCCAGTGTCCTGCCCGTACCTGTTGACAAAGCAGTTGACTGGCTGTATCAGGCATGCATCATGCGTAAAACATGCTGCAGCAGGCCCTACGTCATGTGGGACAATGAGCTCATTGCCACTTCCTCTTCCTGTTGTTGTTGTTGTGGCTCTTCTTCTTCTTCTTCTTCTTCTTCTTCTTCTTCTTCTTCTTCTTCTTCTTCTTCTTTCTTCTTTTCTTCTTCTTCTTCTTCTTCGTCTTCATCTTCTTCCTCCTTCCCCCTTCCTTCCTTCCTTCCTTCTTTTCTTTTTTTCTTTTCTTTTTCTTGGGGGGGTCGTTTATTGAGACAGGGCTTCTCTGTGTAGTCCTGACTATCCTGGAACTCACTCTGTAGACCAGGCTGGCCTCGAACTCACAGAGATCCTCCTACCTCTGTCTCCTGAACGCTGGGATGAAAGACATGCATCACCACCTCCAAGCTATTTCCTGGTTATTGATCATATTATTTTAATACCAATATGTGGGAGATAGGGGACTTTTCTTTAAGCTCAGATATTGCCCCTGCCTGTTGGTGAATTCACTGTGTTTGATGAGCGAGGAATCCGGAGTGAGCAGTCTGTGGCTCGTGCCTCCCCTGTGAGCCAGGTTTCCCCTCCCAGCTGAGCAGAAGCCACCAGTCTTTCTCTGCTCTTCTCATAGGCATGGGGGAGGTGCAGGGTCCTAGAAGGGGTAGAGAAGGAGAATGCCAAAGAGTTCTCTGCCTTGTACCACTCTGCCTGGAATAGAGTCCAAGCGAGCTCTCTTTATAATCTTTATAGAGCAGGAAGAAATGTTCCCATAATGTCTTGCCACCATGCTGGGGTGTTGGGGATGGCCTTCATATGTGCCAAAGACTGTCCACAGCCAGCTGTTCCATCTGCTTTTGCCCTGGGGGCAAAAGTGTAAGCCTCCAGTCCACAGGTGCTTATTTGCCTTCCCTGACTATCCCAGGGTCCACCTGGCTCTTCCGGGGACAACTTGGCTTTGGGCCCATCTGCTCACACTCAGCACTGGCTCTCTCTGCAAGGCCGTCATCAGATCTTAATTTGAACAGGCAAGGAAAGCAGGGCTCACTCTGCCACATGCCCACATGTGTGAGGCTGTGTCCAGGACCAGAAAGGGTCGCCTTGAGGTTTACATGGATTCCTCAATTACTTCCACTTTGTGGCGTGTTTGAATGAGTGCTAAGTGGACACACACTGAAGGGAGCTTCTCTCTCGTAGAAACACGTGTCACTGGGGAACCAGCCAGAGACTCCACTCTGCCTCCTTCTCATCTGAGGGTTGATAAAAACATAGACCAGGAGGGGGCTATGCAGTTGGCTTCCCTTGGTGAGTGGACTCTGTCTTAAAGCCACAAGTCCACTGTGGATTGGGGTATAGGGTGCTCATTCTAAGAAAAGTGGTCTATCTCATGTGACTTAGTCTGGGGCAAGAGTGAGGTATGAGCGCTGTGCCCTCTGGGAGAGCGTGAAGAGAGTGTTCTCAGCTCATTGCTGCAGCACGGAGGCGAGAGCAAACACCCAAGAACACAGTGAGGGAAAGCTCCAACAGACCTTTAGTTTCCTCGACCTTGGCCTCATTTTCCCTGAGGAGGGATCACCCTTATGCTCACGATTGATGGCGAGTCAGCAGATGGACTGAAACCAGCACCAGTGCCTCCCAATTTCCAAAATGCTAACACAGCCAAACGATAAAGATGGCCACCGTTTATTAAAGCCTACTATGTGTAAGCACATACTAGGTGCTTCTTATACGAAGTCCGTTGTGAACGCAGTGTGGCTCTTCAACAATGGTCTCACTCTTGTTAGAAAGGAAACACCTGAGGCCCTGAGAGGCTCTGACACCTGTCTGAAGACTCGCAGCTCCAGGCCGTGTCAGGATTTGGACCCTGCTTGTCTGTAGGTCACACGCCCTTCTCTCATCCCCTGGCCTTTCTGTCTGCCACCAGGACTCACTGTGGTGACTGTACACCGTCCAAGCTCAGCCCAGTTGCCGTAGACCCCCGCCAAGTGGCAGGGAAGAAAATGGGGTCATGAGCCCCACACCTTGTCGCCATCTCCCTCCATCCTAGCAGGCCCCAGGATGTCACTCCAGGCACTGCTGTCACTCCAGACCCATGTCATTTCATGCTGAGTTCACACCGCTGTGTTCCCTGTCCTCTGGGGACTTCCGGGCCAGGATAAGCCTGATGTCCCAGCCATCCGTGGAAAGAGACATGCACACAATTGACCAGAAAATAGAGCAAGTACAGAGTGGATGATAGTCGTTGTGCTCCAGGGCTGTGTCCCTAATGGGGCAGAGGAGGCTGCAGTGTGGGCAGAGCTCAGAAGACCCTTTTTACATAAACACCACAGCCATCTGGGACCAATAGGCTTCCAGGAGTTGGGGTGGGAGGGCATAACACTTGTAGCAGCCGCTGACACTGTGGCTTTCTGTAAACCAGGCATTGCTGTAAGCATATTTAATCCTTCCAACAACTGCACGAGAGCTGGAGCCTGGCTCCACAGCTGGCCCCTCGGCTCCCCGCTCTCTGGTTGCACGGTGAAGACAGTCTCTCTGAGCCTCTGTTACCTTGGCTGTAACTGGGGATAATAAAGATACCTTTTGCAGCTGTAATTACAGCTCACACCTGCAATTTCAGGGCTTTGGTGGTCGAGGCAGGAAGATCGGGAGTTCAAGGTCATCCTTGCCTCCAGCATGAGTTCAAGACCAGCAGGGGCTATGTGAGACCATATGTCTTAAAATAGTATTAAATAAATGAATGAACAAATAAATAAACCTTCCCCTAGAGGTTTGTGGGAATTAAGTGCTTCAGTATAGGAAAAATACATAGGAGAGAGCCTGATGCACACTAATTATTTAATATGTGCCCAGTATTGTTTGTTATCAAGTGAAATGCTGTCCTCATCACCCCACCTTACAGATGGGAAAACTGTGGTACAGAGCAGTTAAATGATTCGCCCAACTTGGTCCATTCAGGATTTGAACTCAGGCAGTCTTTGGTGGGCAAACCCTTAGCCGTATACGCTATGACCTTAGGGAAGAAGAAGAAGGTATGTGGAGTCCAGAGAGGGGGCAGTGCCTGAGGGGGAAGCAGTGAGATGGCCGATGTGAAGAGGCTAGAGAAGGGAGGTCATCTGAGGTATCCTGCCAGAGGGGACTGAAATAGAAAGAGAAGGATCTGGATTCCACTGCCTTGGAGGGGGAGCGGGGATCGAGAAGACTGAGTGACTCCTCCTGACAGCATTTGGCTGGCAATGAGATTTATCTCCAGAGTAAATTGAACCCAGTAGGAACGATTTTAGCAAATAATCAAGAACTGCAGAGGCTGGGCAGCCTGAAGTCCCCTTTCCCATTGTTGCCCTGGGCCAGGCCCTCCCCACATTCCCCCTACTAGAGGTGTGTGTGTGTGGGGGGGGGGGCTCTACACAGTGTTTGCCACTTTGAGTTTTCCAAATACAACACGTAGGGTTGAGAATGCCTAGTTTCCCTGTGCTAAGAAAACCAAGGCCTCTGCCTGCCCAACCCCAGAAGGACTTCATAGTCAACATCAACCCTTTAATTAAACATTTGCTATGTGCCAGGTACATTTTAGAAGTTTGAGCAAAATAGGCAAAAGCTTCCGTCCCTGTGGGGTTCATGATGTAGTTGGGAGCTGTTCAGCACATAGCCTACAGCACACAGCAGTACAGGGTCCACAGAGCATCCTGGAGATGCTTCAGCTCTGGCTTGTGTGTCCTGTCCCAGAGATGAGAGGCAGAGCTCCAGCCTCATGACTCCCCTGAAATGACAAGCAACAGTAGTGCCACACAGTTCCAGGTTACAGCCCATCATGGCGGAGAAGTTGAGCCATCAGGAGCTCGGAGCAGTTACCGGAGAGCAGTGAATGCATACACACTTGTGCTCAGCCTTCCCTTCTAGCTACCTATACAGTCCAGGAACTCCTGCCCAAGAATCAATCCCACCCACAATGAAGATGGGTCTTTTCATACCCCGTGGGTGTGTCCAGAGGCCCGTCTCCCAGGTGAATCTAACTTTTGGTCAATTTGACGACACCACCACAAGTAGTCTAGGGCCATGCCCCTCTGTCTGGAGTCCTTGCTACTGGGAAGATGAGTAGCGAATAGATGAGCTAGTGATAGACTCTTCTCGGTGCTTTTCCTGGGAGTGACACCCCTGTCCTCATCCCCGGACCCTGTCTCCCTTGGACTTGGCTTCATCCTGATGGCTGTAGGGAGATTGGCTCTCTAACTGCAGACAACTGCTTCAGCTTTCTTTTCTAGAAACCCCAGTCCCTTGTTTAGCTATTGTGGACCAGTGAACCATGGGGAAGGCCTGAGCATAAGAGATGGCCTGATTCTTAGGAATCTCCCCCAGACAGGCCTCTGTCTTGCCCAGCAAAGTCTGCCCAGCCTCCTTAGTATTCTCTACTGTGATCTTTCTGGAAATCTTTACCAGCGTAGGTAAAGACCTGCAGGTGCTCTGTCCCAAGGAGTCAAAGCTGTGCTTGTCTCAGTACCTCACAGAAACTGCAACAGATCCTCCCACATCCCACATGGCCCCTTTGGCAAGAGGATTAGAGCTCCTGGCTCTGCCCCTCAGGGCCACCTAGTAGACTTACACAGAAGGCACTTCAGGACAAGCACCTGAAGAGTAAGGCAACAGACACAGGAGTCACGGACAGTAGGCACTGTTTTCCATCCTGTGTGCGACCCTTGGGAGCAGGAGTCCCAGACGTCAGAGGAAACTAAGGTAGGATCAGTGAGTTCCATGTCTCTCATCCCAGAGCAGGCAAAGCCCTGGGAACAGGAAAAAGTCAAGAAATAGCTGACTATACCTTCTGTTTTGTTTTTTTGTTTGTTTTGTTTTTTGTTTGTTTGTTTTTGTTTTGAGACAGGATCTCAATATGTAGCAGTGGCTAGCCTGGAACTTGCTATGTAGATAGACCAGGCTGTCCTGGAACTCACAAGAGACCTGCCTGCCTCTGACTCCCAAGTGTTGGAATTAAAAGACACAAGCCACCACACCAGGCTGTACTTTATTTTAAGGATTTCACTGATACAAAAAGAGGATGTTCTGCAGTGTAAACGGGGGGTCAAAGAGCTAAGGGAACTTCCAAGAAGAACTCAGCCTCCGTGGAAGCTGGAGCAGGGAATGTGGAGCCTGAGACGCCATACTAAACAGGTCCAGCCAGGAGCAGGATGCTGTGAGCTCACTGCATCCTTCCTGCTGTAGAGGCTGGGTTCATGTGGAGGCAGGAGGAAGCAGCAGGCTACCCGGGGATAAAACAGGACTCTGAGAAGGTGAAGTTCTCATCTCGGCTCTGAAAGCCCCACCCACTGCACCGAGAACTATTTCTAGGATTTGCAGAGCTTTTTTCCTGTGCCAAGTAATTGCCAGTGATACCGGTTAAAAATAATTGAAATATGAGTCCCTCTGTTGAATGCTGTGTCTTATTGAGAAACCTAACAAAAACTCTAATAAAGCTCGGAGGTGTCAGTGAGAGCAGCCACAGAGTGAGAGTGTCTTCTCTTCAGACAGTGCTTGCTCAGGTGTCTCTAGGCCATGTCTTGTTAAGGCAGGTTGCAGTTTTTTTTTTTTATTCACACAGTTATCTTTAACTGTTTGAAGCTCCTGAACTTCCTTATGAAACTGATGGACATTATGTCTCAGCGAAAAATGGCCAACATCTGGGCATGTGGCCGATATTTGGTGACTTGGTCTACTGACCTCCTAAATCTGGTCTGTGGATACAGATCACAAAGTTATTTCTGTGGTAGGATGTCATCAGTTGGGTTGGCAAGACAACCTCAGCTGTGGGCCTTGTGTTTTCACTGTTTGGGGGTTTACTTGGCCTTCAGTGAGGCAATAGGGCTTATTACAAATAGGTCAGTTATTTCCTGAGGGAAAATGTTGTATAAGACTATCTCAGAGGTCCCATGTAACCTTGTGATTCAGCAGTGTGAGACACGGAATGTGTCTGCTTTGACTCTGGGTTAGACCATAAAAAAAGGGTACATGGCAAGTAGTTTGCCTGTTCATAGTGAACGTGTAGTCTCTCTCTCTCTCTCTCTCTCTCTCTCTCTCTCTCTCTCTCTCTCTCCCTCTCTGTCTCTGTCTGTCTCTCTGTCTCTGTCTCTCTCTCTCTCTCTCCTCTCCCTTTGCTTGCCTGAAGTTTCCTATCTCATGCCCATAGTTGCCACGACAACCAATCTAGGCTGGTCTTAGTCTATGGACCGTGTAATCTAGGCAATGCAGAGCTCACCTGAGGCTCAGTGTGCAAGAACCATTGTATCTGTGTGTATGGGACAGTTGCTACAGTAATATATAGGGCACATAATATACATGTGGAAACATCTGGACTTCATGTTGACCAGAGAAGCAAGGGGATGTGGTTTTCAATGAGTACAATTTCAGAAAGAGTGCCCTAGATTAGGTATTTCTTCCTGCTTTTCCCCGCTGGAAGTCTTAAGAGCAGGGGAAGTGGAGATTCCATACCCTCTCGCCTACCTAATTTACAGGACCAGTGGAGGTGCAGAGAAAACAGGCATCTAATGCCATGTAGCAAGTCCAGAAGAGAACCCAGGACCTCCAAGATGTGAGATTAGGGTAAACCCTAATCTCAAGCTTGTGGAGGTTGTTAGGGTCACTGGAATTGAGAAGGACAGAACTCATGAAGCTGAGGCAAGAAAGAGACTAGCTGTACTGTACGTCACTTCCTCTATCCACAGGATGGTCCATCCCCCCCCTCCCCCGCCCACCCGCTCTCTCTCCTCTCCCTGGATTCAGTGGGCCAGCCTTACTGTGACTGTGAGCCTAGATCCACTCTAATCGCTGGGGCAGCAAGTGTAGGGTTACAGGATCTCATCAATAGGACCATGGGATTTCATGTTAAAAGGGCTCCATGCTGCTTGGAACAGTATGCAGCATGAAGCAAATCAGCTACAGCTGCAGGTGGCTGAAGGACATTGTGGAAGGTTGTAGGACCCTAACCGACTGGCATTCAAAGTCTAACTATCTCGGGTACCCCCAGGATGGTTTTGGGCAAGTTTCTTTCTCCATTAAATGAAGACAATGGTACTTCCTGACTCATAGGGTTTATGAAATAAGGTACATAATGTGTGTAAGAGGGCCCCTGGTACCCAGTTCCTGTAGGATCACCTGTCCTCAGTTCAGCAAGCCTCAGTACGTTATCACCGTCTGCCTTACGTAGGAGGCTTTCAATTCAGTGGGGGAAGAGGGTCTGGCCCCGGGATGCAAGTAAGCAGAATATGACTGCATAGCCCTTGACTACAGTCAGCAGGTAGGAAAGGCACAAAGTTGTGTGGGACTGTCAAAGAAGGCTGAGCAAGGAGGCCTTGCAAGACGTGTTGGACCTGAACACATATAGAGAAAGGCCAGGCAGAGCGGAGGTACAGGCGTGCGTTAGACCTGGACAGAGGCAAGGAGGAAAGCGAGGGAGCCAGGAGGTGATGCCAGAGCTGTGAAGGGCTTGTGTACTGGTCAGCACAGGCCTGTGTGGCAGCCAGGCCCCAGGGGGTGGGGTGGTCCTTACCTGCAAGGCCACCCAGACCACCAAGTTAGAGATCCTCTTCCTGCAGATCACAGAGCTGTAGCTATGAGGGGAGGAGGGCCTCCCCCTGCAGATCCTGAATCCACACCTCCCACCTCCAGGACAGCCCTCTGAGAACTAGCCACCAGGAAGAAAGGTCCCATGCTCAGGCATGGGGTCCAGAACACCCAGGCAAGAACAATTAATAGCAGCCCAGCCCTGAGCTAGGTTCTGCTGGCCCCAGACATTCTAGCCTTGGGATTCCTGAGGAGCCTATGGCTGGAGGAGGGGCCTGTCCTCTGCCCTTACACACCAGATCTGGAGCAGGCTCTCTTGAACAGCCCTCAACCCCTGTTACCTCAGGTTCTACAGACCCCTGGAAGAGGGTCAGTGCCTCCCTAGACTCAAGGAGATGTCTAGTTGGCTTCAGATCCCGTCTCCTGGTGTGACCGGAAATGACTTGGTTTTCTTCTCCAGGCCTCCCCGCTCCTTTCTGTACCATCCCTGCCCTGTCAGAGCTCAGAGGAGGGGAAGGCCATGCCGGGAGTTCTAAGGAATGTGTGCTGCAGCTTAGGGTTGATCCACATTTCTGTCCTCTTGGGATTGGGGCAGGGGCAGATTGGAGGTTGGCTGAGGTCTAGAACCCTGGTTCTATTACCAGCTTCCAGCTTGCCAAGCCTCATTTTTGTCTAGTAGGCAGGCAGCAGGCCAATCTAAGAGGACTTTCTGGGGGTATAAGCATGCTGGGGTGTTGTGTGACATCACTGTGTCCATTATTGAATTTTCTTGTCCACACAGGAGTAAATGGTGAACTCTAGTCCTAGTTTAGTACTAATGCGTGTGCCAGACAGGCTGGGCTGTGAGAATACCTCGGACACGCTTGCCCCTTTCTCTCAGAAGTGCAGAAAATCTCCCCCATACCTCTGAACGCAGCAGAAGTTTGGGGGCATGAGGTAGCCTCATAGCTAGATGTCCCAAGGTCATTCCCTGAAGATATGGCTTTCCCCGCGAAGGGGACAAAGACAGAGCCTCCTGTCCTAAGGCCACAGAGAAGTGAGAAAAGATGTTGCTGGACCCCCGCCATCCCAGAGGCCTGGCTTCCACTCCACACTCCAGCTGTGCTGTCTCTCACCACAGGGTACTGAGAGGTCACCCCTGTTTACAGGCCCCACACATCTGTTCTGAGTCACGCATTCATTCATTTCATTAGCCGTCATTCACCAAATATTCCTGAGAACCCACTATGCGCACAGGACTTTGATGGCCTTTGAGGACAAGTTCAACCAAAAAATGGATTCTTGAGGAACACAAATAAACGCATGATGAATGATGGCCACAGATGTGAGGAAATCATTACAGAGGCTGCAGTGAGCTGTGGGGAGGGTCGGGGTGCCATCCTTAAAGGAGAAGCATTCTCCTTCACCAGGGGTTGAGGAGAGCCGGGTTTGATGGCATGCGGGTAATTTCAGCATTCAGAAAAGACTAAGGCATGAGGATAATAAGTTCAAGGCTAGCCTGGTGAGAGCCTGTCGTAACAACAGCAAAAGAAAGCCTACAGTGGTGAATGCCTTTAATCCCAGCACATTGAGGTGGCGGGGAGGCCGGGGACCCACAGAGAGAGACAGGAGGATCTCTGAGTTTGAGGCCAGCCTGGTCTACAAATCAAGTTCCAGGACAAAAATAAAATAAACAGAGAGAGAGAGAGAGAGAGAGAGAGAGAGAGAGAGAGAGAGAGAGAGAGAGAGAGAGAGAGAGAGAGAGAGAGATTCCTATCCAAGAGTTGTACTGGCCAAAAACCTTGGGGAAATATTCTTGATCCCTCTCTCTCCTACACACCCACATGTAGCCAAAGAGCAAATCCTAATGGTTCCAAAGTGTACCATTGCTGACCACTTCTCATGACCGCCATCCCCGCCACCATCATCTTTCAGCTGGATTCACCGCTTCAACCAATGACCCCAACAATTTGCCTCCACCTAAGACTCAAAGTGATCTTTTCCAAGGGGAAACCAGGTCTCTCCCTGGCCTGCAGTGTTATTCCGAATGACAAGTCCTTATATGAAGACCTAGAAGGCCCCATGCCCCGCCTCCTAGCACACCTCTCACTCTCTTTCTGCAGCGTCCCTTTCTTGTCTGGCCGAGGTTTTATCTTCCTTGCTGTCTTTGAAACATATCAGGAATTTCTTATTTCCATTTTTTTCTCCTTAGCATTTTTTTATATTGATTTTATGTGTGTCTGTGGGAGGCCAGACGATAACTTTCAGGAGTCAGTTCTGTCATGTGGATTCTGGGAATGGACCCCGGGTTGTCAGGCTTAGGGGCAGGAGCGCTTTTCCACTGGACTATCTTGCTGGCCCCTCCTTAGTGCTTTTAAGTAGCTGGTATCTCTGGCTAATTTGCTGTCTTGCCCATTTGAATATAAACTCCACAAGGACAAGAGTTTTTGGTTTTGTGATCCACTAAATCCCCCAGCAGCTAGCCCAGCTGACCTGAACCAGCGTGAGCAATGGGGAGGGGCTTTCTAGAGACTTGGTGTTTAAACATCAGCTGTTTCCACAGCCTCTAGCATGGCCTTGCCCACATTCTGAGTCCTCACTGAGGGACTGAGTGACATAGAGAAATGACCTGGTAGAAGGAAGTGAGGAGCAATAGATTTTACAGAATCTTCCTGGGAAGTGACAAGCAGGCACTTCACAGGAGGATGAGCCCAGAAAGCCTTAAAGAAAGAGCTTGTCACTCTTGGGGTTGATGGCACCCCCAGCCCTAGCCCAGAATGGATAGGCTAGGCTTGTAGTCACGTGGTTGCGTTTTCAGTCCTTGATCTCTGGATCCTGACTGTGGGCACAGAAACAAGTACTACCTGTCCCCGAACTCTGTCCTGTGCTGTGTGGGGAGCAAAGTGTGGACTTCTCTGCCCCCTCCTGTCTCCCTCACACTCCCTTCTTCCAAGGTCACCTTTCAAGGTCATCAGGGCAGGACCAGTCTAGCTCTCGTGTCTACCTTCTTCTCTCTTCCCTCCAGCTCCACTAACATTAGCCCAACAGGCAGAGCCTCAGACCATCGCCCCCTCACCCTGGGTTACAGCATTTCTAGTCACAGGGGTGTGAGAACGTCAAGTCCCACAGCATGCCTGGCCCTGGCCCTAGGCCTACATCTTCATTCCTCAAATTGCTTCAAGATAATAGTCAACAAATATGGTCAAATTACACAGTCCATTTCCACTACAGAAACTGGCAGAAATGGAGTATCGAGCTTGTTTTAGGACATCGAGGGACTGAAGATACAGATGATTCCAAACCAGCCTCTTTTCCCACCTCCCCAGGAACTGACGGGAACCAGTCCTCACATAAGGTTACTGACATCAGCAGCACCCTCCTCCGTCTGCCCAGCCCATTAATGATCGTTGGTCTCAATGCAATGAACCATTTGAGCCCTGGCATTTTGGCAGGGTAGCAAAGTGGGGAAATGACTGAGTAGGAGGGGCTCAGGGTTGTGATCTCGGGGATAGTATGACATGGCAGAACCCCCTCTTTTGAGGAATCGCTGTAGGAAAGGCTCTGTACATATCGGCTTTATCGACGGATGCCAGAATGGCTGTTGCCACGGCAGCAGAGCATTCGCACTCCAGGAGAGAATGGTTGGGAAACTCAGGGGATGTGAAAAGAATAAAAAAGGGGGAGATGGAGGTAGAGGTGGTATTAGGGAGCCTTGGAGTATTCCAAGATGCCAAGATAGTGTTTAAAGGGACCACCACCTGGCCATGGCAAGACCCTTTCAAGACAGGAGGAGGACTGGCAGTGAGTTAATTCATGACAATGTGCATAGATAGTATTTTACATCTCAGAACCTGACAGGTGATGTGCTGGGAGGTGAGTGGGAGGGAGAAGGATCCAGACTTAGACAGCAGGAAGGGGCGGTGCCTCTCTTCTGATAAGAACAGATACCAACTTGATTTCAGCCAAAAGTCTGAGGAGTGATCTTTCCTTTATCTGCTCTGTCTTCTTCTAACGAGAAGCAGAATTTCAGGGGCTGTTTATTGAAAGGAGAAAAGGGACTTGAGATTTGGGGAATATGATATCCCATGAGAGAAGTCGCAGAGGAACAAAGAGGATACAGAGAAGAGGAAGAACTAAGCTAACACATGGAATCGAATAAGGGAGTGAGACAACATGGAGGAAGGAAGGTCAGGTCCCGGGGGCAGTAGGCATCCGGAGCAAAGGAAACACAGGTGGACAGACAGATCAGCACATGGACTAGGGTTTCATAAACTGCTGAAGGTTTTACTACAGATATGGACACCAGAGACAAGGGCTCAGGTTAAGCCAGGCGTTTTGGCTGCAGCAGTAGACGTGGGTGGATGGACCTAGTGTTGTTCAGTCAGGACTGTAATTAGCCAATTTCATTAGCTAAGGCAGAGATGAATTTACATGCAGGGGGAAAAACTATCAACAACAACCAAGAACTTGGTAAATCAGCCCATAGGTATCCTTTGGTTTCTAAATTGCAATTTTAGAGAAAGCAACATTTCCACGGGATTGAATCAGGGAAATCTCGACTAAATTTCAAGATGACAGGTGGATAAGAATGAGGACTTTAAAAACGATGGTTTGTCTGTAACCCCAGCACTCAGGGGACTGAGGCAGGAGAATCTCAAGATCTAGTTGTTTGTGACACTGTTACAAATAGTCTGTGGGATGAGAGATGCTCTTTCTCTTGCTTGAACTAGGAGCTTATTTCAGGTAGAAGCATGAGGATCTGTGTGTTTTTTGACCAGCTTCAACTTGCTTGTTTCCTCCATGGACTCACAGTCTTGACTCTGCCTCTGTGTTTCCTAAGATCTGGACTCAGGGCCTCTGAACACTGTCTTCCTGGCCAATCTCTTCCTGAGGCAGTACCTCTTGTCATTCCTGTGAGGAGAACACATACCCATGCCTGCCTTCCTGAGATAAATGTGCTCGACACTTCATTTTCACAGGGACAAAGTTATTTCCCCAAGTCTTGGGTTGTCTGCCTTGTATTCCCTCGAGGCCAGACCCTCCATCTCTCTTTGGCTCTCTGAGGCCAGCTGAAAGCCCACAGCTCTCGCCAAACAGCTCTCTGCCCAATAACTCCCGTTCTCAGTACTGCGCTAGACATGGCCTCTCTGCTCTAGTCCCTGTCCTAGAAAGGTTAATAGACTCTCAACTGGGACCGAGGAAGTTAGAGTATCTTGGGCTCTGGTCAGCACCTGATGTCCAGCATTTAGACCTCAGAGTCCTTTAACCATCAACACCTACCCTGGGCTAGTGTGGCACTTGGAGAGCTCCTATTCGGATGGGACCGACATATCCAGGATCTTTTTCATTGGTTCTACAGCTCTGCAGAGGGACCAATGCCAAGTCTCTTTGGAGTCCTTAGGTTTCAAAGCCCCTTTACCTATGAAGCTGTGTTATAACCACTGTAGGAGCGACAGACAGCAAGAAGGCTTCAATGACTTTGACAAGGTCATGTGATCAAGTAGAATGGGGACTCAGACTCCTGCTCCCAAGGGTTAGCCCCTTCCTTTTACATCCCAGCCCCGCTTCCCTGTCAACCCTGAGCCCTGTTTAAACCACCCTGTCCCGTACTGTGCCCCTTACCTTCTGGGCTTATGAGGGCAACTGTGCCCTAGAGGAACTGAAGGTACCAAGAGAGTTTTCCTAGGGGGAAACCCGAAGGTGGTTTGTGGGAACTTCCCTCAGGCTCTGCCGGTTTCTACCCAAGACCCCACCGGGCAACTCTCTGTCCTGTGTCCACAGATACCCTTTCTCAATACCTTTACCTGAGTCCCTAAATCTCCTCCACGGATACATTTTCCCAGATGCAGCAGGAAACCACATACCCCACCTCTCTGCAGCAAGCAAGGAAAAAAACTGGTGGGATCCTTTCTGTGCCCCCAGGGCTCAGCTCACAGACACCTCCCCCTCCCGAGCCAGAAATAGACACACTCTCTCCCCTACCTCCCTCCCCTTGCGCACACTCCACCCCTCCTCCTGTTTGCTCCCCGCCTCCCCCCTCCCCTTCTTCGCTGGGAGCTGCAGCCCGCAGCCTCTCCGCGAGCTGGAAGGAGGAGTGTAGTGAGGGCGCTGCCCGGGAGTGTGTGCGGCCCTCAGCACAGATCGGCCGCCGGGGACTTAGACGAGATCCCAGCATCGCAGCACGTCCCCGCTTCGATGGAGCCTCCGGGCTTCCATCCTTCCTTTGACTGATTTAAATTTTTTAATTTATATTCTCCCTGCCCCGCCCCTTTTCCTTCGACCCCGCCCCATCTCCCGCTATTTCCTTGCCTTTTCCTCTTCCCGGGCTTCCTTCCCTGCATCTCTTTTCCCTTTCGCCCTCTGCTCGCCCCCTTGCTCCCTCCCCTTCCTCTCCCCTTCCTCCGCGGTTTCTTCCGTCTCCCCCCTCCCCACTCCGCCCCCTCCTCTCCCGGCGCTCCCGCCTCCTTCCCCCGCCCCGTGCCTGCAGACGCGCGGATCGTCCATGCGCTCCTGGCAGGCAGAATGCTGGGCAGCAGCGTCAAGAGCGTGCAGCCCGAGGTGGAGCTGAGCGGCGGCAGCGGCAGCGGCGGCGACGAGGGCGCGGACGAGCCTCGGGGAGCCAGCAGAAAGGCGGCCGCGGCGGACGGCAGAGGCATGCTGCCCAAGCGCGCCAAGGCGGCGGTCGGCGGTGGCAGTATGGCCAAGGCCAGCGCAGCAGAGCTGAAGGTCTTCAAGTCCGGCAGCGTGGACAGCCGTGTCCCCGGTGGGCCGCCGGCCTCCAACCTGCGCAAACAGAAGTCACTCACCAACCTCTCGTTTCTCACGGACTCCGAGAAAAAGCTGCAGCTGTATGAGCCTGAGTGGAGCGATGATATGGCCAAGGCACCCAAAGGTTTGGGCAAATTGGGGCCCAAGGGCCGCGAGGCTCCTCTAATGTCCAAGACACTGTCCAAATCAGAGCACTCGCTCTTTCAGCCCAAAGGAGCCCCCGCGAGCGGCGGCGCCAAGACCCCACTGGCTCCGCTAGCGCCCAGCCTAGGCAAACCCAGTCGGATTCCTCGCGGACCCTATGCGGAGGTCAAGCCTCTCAGTAAGGCGCCTGAGGCAGCGGTGAGCGACGATGGCAAATCGGATGACGAGCTGCTTTCCAGCAAGGCTAAGGCGCAAAAGGGCTCAGGGACTGTGCCCTCAGCCAAGGGCCAGGAGGAGCGGGCCTTCCTCAAGGTGGACCCCGAGCTCGTGGTAACCGTGCTGGGCGACCTGGAGCAGCTGCTCTTCAGCCAGATGCTGGGTAAGTCTTGCCGCCCCGCCCCACCCCGCCCCTGGTTTTCTCCTGGCCCGCTGCAGGGAGAGGTGGGGAAAGGGAAGCTTCCTCCCTTTCCCCTTATATGATTACCGGCCAGGTTAGGAGGGGCATGACTGCCCAGATGTGCAGAGCTGGCCTACCTCCAGCTGTGTCTGGCTAATTAATGCATGTCTTAAAGATGTCGCTGGTGGTAGCCTGGGCTCTGCTGTGGCCTGTCGGAGGTGAGGGTGGACAATGGGGGCGCGGGGACTTCGGTTCTCAGAAACCATTAGCTCCCCTGAATTTTGAAGTCCAGAGTCCTAATATGGCAAACCACGGTGAGGTTGGTAGAGACACTAGCTGAGGAGTGGTCTGCGGTGGATAACACAGCATCCAGAATTGCTAGGAGAGCATTGGTAAGAGCCCAGATCTAGAGCACAGATGTAGGGAGAGCAGATGTGAGGGCCAGTTGGTCTTTGGAGCAGAGCTGAGGCTCCACTTCCTCTGTGGACCCCGGGTGGGAGCTTGAATCGGATTTCCCGGGTGTGGGGGACCTGGCAACAAGAAGTGTCTGGGGCCAGGGAGGCGGGCGGGCAGCCAGCTGCGCGCATCTGGAGGCGTCCTTTTCCTCAGCCCCAAGCAACCACCACCCCATCCCCCTAAGTGTTTTAGGAAAGGTCTGGGCTTTTGCGCGGAGGCTCCCGAGAAGCCTTTGCCCTTTGGCTAATGAAAGCCAAGCTGGCGGGAAGGGAGGAACAAAGCTTCCTCGATGGAGGAAGCTGGAGCGCTGCTCCATTGTTCTCCAAGCCTGAACAGTCCGAGGAAAAAACCCGGAGCCAGCCCGGGAATCGTGCTTTCTTTCTGTAGAGCCCCTGTCCTCAAACAGGGATATATGGAGGATGTGCCTGACGGGGAGGCTTCAGTGCCTCGGAAGCTTACACCGGCAATACAGGGGCTGCGGGAGGTCGGCCGCGAGCCACCTTGGGTGCACGGACTTGTTGCAGTGGATGGGATGTGGATCCTCAGGCGCCGGAGCCCAGGGACCCCATCTTCTTGGGTACCTTGCAGGCCCGGACCAGCTCTGCTGGGGGCTGGGAAGGGGCGTGTCGTGAGCGTGTGAAGGGGCGGGGCCGAGAGGAGGGTAGCGGTCCGAGTGACCGGATGGATGGATGGATGGATGGAGGTAGGAGCGGGTGCTCGCCCAAGGCCCCTGGAGAATGCTGAAGGAAACCTGTTCAGACTGCTGCAGTCTTCCTGAGACATCCCCGCCTGTGGTGTGGTGAGGGTCTGGTGAACAAGGATTTCGCCTCTGACAGACAGAGTCTGGTGAACGAGGATTCCGCCTCTGACACGGATGGCCTTTGCAGAGGCAGTCAGGGAACTGGACAAGGGCACAGGGAGGGAAGGAGCCTTGTCCATTTAGAAAGCTGCCCCCCAAACTCGATGGACAGTGAAAAGGGGGGATGGGATGGAGTATGCAGAAGTGACAGGCGGAAGTGCCACCCTTGTTGCCTGCTATCAGAGGCCCTGCCCTCAAGGAGCTTGCCATTCAATGAGCTTAGACAGATAATAAGGAAAACAAAACGCTAGGCACCAGGAGGCCTGTTCTAGAGAGGGGCTGAGGAGGGAGGCCTCTCTGAAGAAGGTGGTCATGGGATTGTGACTGAGACATGAGGCTATCTTGTATTGAACATACCCTGAGAGAATGAGAGAACTGAGGGAGAAAGGGCCTTCATATGCTTTGGGCAGGGGAAGATGAGTGTGGCCAGGACAGGTAGAGGGCACAGCCCCATTTTCAAGGTCAGAGCTTCCTCTATTTGGGGTGGGTTAGCTAAGCCCTCCGTAATCAAGGCATTTCCCACACTGCCCATCAAAGGCCTCTTAGTTGCTTCTCAAGATGGGTCACCACAGACACTCTGGCAGATGGTCCTAGGGCTGGCTAGGGGCAGGAGGGGAAAAGGAGCCAAGCTATAGTGCCTTATACCTTCCTGTTCAGCTGTCATTTCCCCAAGCGCACTTCCACAAGACCACTCAACAATTATAGGGTGACAGGGGTACTCCCTTTCTAGCTGGGCAGATGCTGGACCACAATGCGAGGGCCTGTCTCCTGAGCTGAAGAATGCATTTCCTTCTGCATCCTCAGTTACAGCTCTTCCATGGGGGACCCAAGAGGAGAAGGGGCCCACCGGTGTGGAGGGGTCTGAGGAAGGTGATGTGTACTGGTTCTGGGCCAGGAGAGCAGTTTTCAGAGCAGGCCTCATGGAGGCTAAGGAGCTTCACTCTCAGATGGAGGGGAGAGGTGGGAAGTCTGCAGAGGTAGTGCTGTACTGCCTCCAGCTGAGAAGATCAAGACAGGGTGGCATCAGGCCCCAGGATACCCTCTGGCATCAGATGATGGGGAGGCATTTGGAGACTCTAGGCAAAGCCTTTTCTCTGTGTGAAGATGAGGTAGAGGGCACACTATCCAGGAGTAAGGGGGATAGTAGAATGATTGGCATCCCAGGGCCTGTACACGTGTGCCCTGTGTCAGAGGAACCTGGTGTGGGGCAGAGTGGCATCTGGAGAGAATCCTGCTGTGATTTCTCCCCATGGCTAATGTCATGGAGTTTTTGCTCTGGCCCATGAGGTCCAGTACCAGCTTATAATACTTCCCTAGTACCATCTCAGTCCCAAATTCCCAAGCAAATGGCAGGGAGGTGGGGCAGGCAGCCCCAAATAAGAACCTTTCTAGAATAAAGGGGAAGAACTGAAATCTGATCATCCTTTCCCCAAAACTCAGCTGGGGCCCAGATGATCTAAACAGCCTCTCTCTGTCCCTTCCCTAACCTGAAAGCTGCCAAGTAACCAGGGTTCCCCTGGAGAGCCCTGGAAACTTAGAAGGCTGAGGGTGAGCCTCAGGAGAAACAGGCCAGTTCCAGTACCTTATGAGATAGCTTTGACTCTGGAGCAAGTCCACCAGACCAGCTCTGGGGCGAAGCAGAAACTAATATTCCCAACTCCTTGTCCAAGAGTCCTAAGTTCTGGTTCCTCCCCTGGGGCTCAGTTTCCCCATATATGAGTGAAGAGGCCCCTCCCATTGCTCATCCTATCAGTGTGGGACAGTGATTAGACCCTGTAAACATCCCAGGTGGATTAAAGAGCGCTTATATTAACATAGAGAAGTTAAAATTACAGTTATATCCCAAACCATACCTCAGCTCATCAGCCCTCTGTCTAAAGATTCAAACAAAGTCAGTCTGTTGACTCCCCAAACATTCAGCTGCCCCCACCATTCAGCCCTCCAGGAAAGAATGGACAGAGTAAAACAATTAAGGTGGTCCAAGGTCAAGGTCTGAAAGAACCCAGGATCTTGGAGTTCCTAGTCCCGTTTCTTCACAGAAGGTGTCTGGCATCCAAGGAGGGGTTTCCATGACAACACTTCTCTGCCCTCAGAAGCACAGACCAAATAGAATAGAGGAAGAAAGACAGGAAGCTATCCATTTCTAAGGCCCCTGGGCTTTGGGGAGGAGGGCTGGGAAAGGGTTGCTTCATGGATTTGCTTTGAGTGCTGTGGGATGACCTGTTTTCACACATACTTTCTTCTTTGGTACCCTGGTGGGGAGTGGAGATGTGACTCCATAACCACTGCCCAGAGCAGGCAGGTGTGTGTGCGTGTAAGCTCACCCAGCAGGTGTGTGTGTGTGTGTGTGTATGTGTGTGTGTGTGTGTTACGTGTGTGTGTGTGTGTGTGTGTGTGTTACGTGTGTGTGCAAGATCACCCAGCAGGGGTGTGTGGGGTGTGTGGGGGGGGGTGTGGGGGGGTGTGGGGGGGTGTGTGCAAACCTACCCAGCAGGCAAGTTGTGTGTGTGTGTGTGTGTGTGTTACGTGTGTATGCAAGCTCACCCAGCAGGCAAGTTGTGTGTGTGTGTGTGTGTGTTACGTGTGTATGCAAGCTCACCCAGCAGGCAGGTGTGTGTGTGTGTGTGCGCGCGCGTGTGCGCGCTTGTGCTCAAGCTCACCCAGTACCAGAAGCTCCACTCAAAGGCATGTGGTGATTCCAGGAACTCTATGAGGCCTGGGAAGAGTGTGGCCAACCCTTCCTTCTGCCGTTCCCTGAAAAGTGGCATTTGGGCTAGAGGGGACTTTGGGAATTGCAGGTCCAGGGCTTGTGGCAGCATGCAGGGCCAGCCAGTGAACATGCTCGTGTGGAATAGGAGTCGACACCAGATCTTGGGCCTCAGGGCCTCCTGCCTTCCACTGAGAAGACCATTTCTTTCTCTGTCACATTTAGGATGTTTTCATCCAAGTCTCTAGGCTTGGGTCTCCACCAAAGGATGGATGGGAGGTCCTGTTCCTCTGCTCTGGCCATTGCTTTGTCCTGATCGCTGAGACTGAAGCTGGTCTCCTCATAAGACAGCCTGGGTTCTGTGTCTCAGAGAGGAAGAGCTGGATGAGGAGGTCTTAGGGGTAGGCTCTCTACCTTGGGGAGGAGGTTCAAGGGGGGCAGAAGTGCCCAGAGCTGCTCTGATTCCCCCAAATCATGTCCAGGATGATATTCTTTCCCATCACTGACTACAAGCCCAGACTATAAGCATCTCTAGTCTTAAATGAAGCAGGACTAAGCCATCTAGGAACCTGGCAGATATTTTCTGATACTTTCTTCTTGTTTTACCTGTCTGTCCTGTGCCCGAGCTACTCCTGGGGTTGTCATCAGCCTCTACCTGCCCTCTGTTCCGAGCTGCCCAGCAACTCCTCCTCCCCTGCTGTCCTCTGTCTTTCCCTCCCCTGCAATGCTCTGTCCATATTCTCATTGCCACTTCTCTAGCCTCTGACCCAGGGGTTGATGATGCAGGGGGCTTCCTGGGACTTGAGGGATGGAGCAGCAGAGTGGGTCCCCAGGGTGCACAGCTGCAGTTCAGCACCCCGACTGCAGTGTCTCCACGGACAGGCAAGAGCAAAGTCCCCTCTCCTCTCTGCACAGTGCTCAGCCTTCCCTGGGGTTTCAGAGAGCCAAAGAGTGGTAATT